GTATTTGTGCACTTCTTATATAGACATTTTTTTTAACGTTTAACCAAGATATGTTTGTTTTCTTAACCTGCAACTCATAAGTGGGACAGTTATATAAAATCTACAGAAAGGAGAACTGTGCACAAAATTGAAGCAAAACTGTGCTATGATTTGGACAGAGATTAACGTTCCTTTCACTTATCGTTACTCAAAAGCTGAAGAAATCACACTATCTGATTATCAAACTATACTACAAAGCCATACTAATCAAAACAGCATGGTATTGCCCTGATGGGTATGGTTCAATTGGCTGCAGGGTCATCCTATAGACCAAAAGGTTATGAATTCTATTCCAGGTCAGGGTGCATATGAGAAGACAACCAACTGATGTTTCTCTCTCTTTCTAACCAACCAATGTTTCTCATATTGATGTTTCTCTCTTTCTTTCTCTCTCTCTGTTCCCTGTCCCCTCCCTCCCTCTCTCTGATACAAATGTCCTCGGATGAGGTTAAAAAAGTTTTAAATAAATAAAAATAAAATAATAAAGAAACAGCATAGTACTGGTATAAAAACAGACATATAGAAACCTGTCAGAATGGCTATCATCAATAAATCATCAAACAATAAGTGTTGCCAAGGATTTGGAGAAAGGGGAACCCTCAAGATGGGAATGCAGATTGGTACAGCCATCGTGGAAAGCAGCATGGAGTTAACTTAAAAAACTAAAAATGGAACTGCCTTATTACCCGGAAATTTCGATTCAGGGAATATATCCAAAGAAACCAAGAAAACTCATTCAAAAAAAATATATTCACCTCCATGTTCACTGCAGTGTTATTTACAATACCCAAGATTTGGAAGCAACCCAACTGCCCATCAGTAGATGGGTGGATAAAAAACCTGTGAGTCATTTACACAATGGAATACTACTCAGCTTTAAAAACAAGGAACTCTTACCTTTGGCGACAGCATGGATGGACCTGGAGAGTATTATGATAAGTGAACCAGTGAGAGAAAGACAAGCACCACATGATTTCACTTATATGTGGAATCTAATGAACAAAATAACTGCACAAACAAAACAGAAACAGACTCATGGGGACAGAGAACGGACTGACAGCTGTCAAAAGGGTAAGGATTGGGGGCTGGATGAAAAGGTGATGGGATTAAGCAAAAAAACAAAACAAAACCAAAAAAAAACCCTCATAGACACAGAAAATAGTATGTTGATTGCCAAAGGGGAAAGGGGGTGGAAGAGGCAGAAGCAAGTAAAGGGGGGATAAGTAGTACTATAATGAGACCCGACTTGGGGTGTTGACCACACAACACAATATACTGGGTTGGCCAAAAGTGCATTTGATCTTTTCCATAAGATGGCTCTAGTAGAGCTCAGTTGTCTTTAACTTCATTTGAAACAATATTGTTAGACTATATTGTGACAGCAGTCATACCAGTGCACATTTTTTAAAAAACTTATCAGTCCTGGCAGGTATGGCTCAGTGAACTGAACTGGCCTGCCAACCAAGGGGTCACCGGTTTGATTTCCAGTCAGGGCACATGCCTTGGTTGCAGGTCAGGTCCCCGGTAGGAGATGAGCAAAAGGCAACCACGCACTGATATTTCTCTCCCTCTCTTTCTCCTTCCCTTCCCTCTCTAAACACAAATAAATAAAACCTTTTTTAAAAACATCAAAATTGCTGAATTTTTGTGCAGCCATTTTAATACTAAAGATGGAAGAAAATAAGCTACATTTTCAGTACATTATGTTTTATTATATCAAGAAAGGTAAAAATGCAACTGAAACACAAAAAAAGATTTGTGCAGTGTATAGAGAAGGTGCTGTGACTGATCAAATGTGTCAAAAGTGGTTTGTGAAGTTTCATGCTGGAGATTTCTCACTGGATGATGCTCCACAGATGAGCAGACCAGTTGAAGTTGATAGTGATCAAATCAAGACTTTAATTGAGAAATGTTATGCCATGCAGGAGATACCAACATACTCAAAATATCCAAATCAATCAAGTTATTGGTAAAAATGAAAAAAATTTCTTTTATTTTATGGAAAACCACTAAACAAACTTTTTGGTCAACCCAATACAAATGACATCTTATACAACTGTATATCTGAAACCTATATAATTCTATTAAACAATATCACCCCAATAAATTAAATTAAATTTAAAGAAAGTGCATAGGATTTATGGTCTACAAAGATCCCTAAGAGCCAGGATCACTTCTAGGTTGACCGACATTGGCTCCCCACTGTCTGGCACATGGGAACACTTAAATGCTTAGTGAATAACTGACTAGTGATAAACAAGTTTCAGAAGGGTTTGATTAAAGTAATGGATAACAACCACAGTAGCCTATAAAAGATGAATCTTTGAAGGTACATCATAACCTTTTCCGATGAAAACTAAAACTGTCTAACTACCTACATGACATAACTTCTGCGATCACATTTGGGAAGTACCTTAGATCAGGTACTCCGAATTTGAAGTCAGACAGAATTGAGTTTGAATGCCAATTCTACCTCTTACAAGCTGTGTGACCTTACCACCTGTAAAACAGGGTAACTTCTGCCTCGCAGTGTACAGTGGATGAGATAATATATACATAAAGCTCTTTGAACACAGGAAGAGCTCAGTCCATGCAACACAAGGAGCTTGTTTTCCAACAACACACCCTAATTTTTAAGACAGTCCTCATAGGGCTATACTACTGCAGTATCCATGAGAAATAGATTATTCGAGTCTCACTAAATACAATCTGGGCATAAGAACTACTTTAAAGAAGTAATTTAGGCCCTGGATGGGTTGCTCATTTGGTTAGAGTGTCGTCCTGATATGCCAAGGTTGTGGATTCAATCTCTGGTCAGGGTACGTACAAGAAGCAATGAATAAATGCACAAATAAATGGAACAACAAATCTCGATCTCTCTCTCTCTCTCTCCCCTCTCCTCAATGCTCTTTCTCCCTCCCTTCCTCTCTCTAAAATCAATAATTTTTTTAAAAGTGATTTAAATTACTCAGAAAACCTTTAAGTTACTCATAGCTAAATACAAGTTACCTTTGCAACCATTAAAAGTGATGGCTCTAATTATAACCAACACAAGTGGGCAGCCTGAGCACCACCAAAGGAATGTGCTCAATCCAGTCGATACCCCTAAGCACACGAGGTTCAACCTTCTTGTTAAAGCTTGGGATTCCTCTTTGCTTTGAAGTCCGTCAACAAATAGTGTAATGAATCAAAATGCAGTCTCTCTTAATAAGAAAGTTATATGTTTACAGAATCTATTCCTCTGATCACAACATAGAAATAGTTCTCTTGGCAGGAAGAAAAAAAAATGTCAAAAACCACTGCTAGATTTCAAGTCCTTTATCCATGCCTTTGGCATAGTACTTAAATTACAAAGAATATTTCAGGGCCTTGAAAAATGTCAACTACACATTCCAAAAGGCTAAAGCAAGAGGACACTAATTCCATGCCATACCAGCAGGAATCTTCTACCTTTGCAAAACAAAGCCAATCTTTAAAAACTAAAAATACAAAACCCCACATGCTAAATATTCAATACTTAATAATATGCCATATAATTACATGATTAAATAGAAGACTAAAATTCATCACAAGTGACTGATCAAAGGATAATAATATCTTACTTCAAATGTTAAAAGAACTATGAAGCCCAACATGCTGGTCGCTTAAATCCTTACACCACTGAAGCCAAAATCCTGCACTCAAAAATATCCTGATTTCCATAATTTGTGGCAACATATATTTGCTTATAAATATTTTAAGAAGTAATGATATTACCCAAAAGAACAACAATGTAAAAAAAGGTGGGGGGGATTCCAGCTGTAACACACACACAAGGGGCTTCAAAGAAGTTTAGTGAATGCATTTACTAAAGGCACAAATTAAAATCCTATTGGCCCCAAACCTCCAACTGCAAAAGAACCACAGAAGTCCCTGCCTGTACCACCCCACCCCCATCCACTGAGGAGGTGCCATATTTAGGCCATGCCCAAAACCAGAATGTAAATACCTACAAGACGAAGTATGCAATCCCTACTACACTGCACTGAGCTGTGACTCAACCAAGCCTCTGCCTCTTTTAGGACGGACAGTTTATTTTTGATCATCCCCAAGAGGAACATGTAGGGTTTTAAAGCCAAACTGGGATTATATTTGGCAATTTGAAACATTTATCAAAACTGGAATTTACCCTACACAGATATACAGATATAAAATAGCCTATGTTCAAGTTCACATATTACATTATAGTTTCTAATTTTTTTAAGTACATTTATAGTTTTCAACAATAGGGAAAAAGATACATAAATTAAGGAACTCCAAATAGATTATATGCAGCTAAAAACTTCAATAAAACAACTCTTGGAATACTGACTTTATGAGTAAAAAAGAGCAAGGTACAAACTAATATGCTACCATCTGTTAGGAAAGAGTGTAGTGGGAGAAATAAAATTATGTATATATTTTTGCATAAAATATAGCTGTAAGATACATGAGAAACTAGAAAATCTGGTTGTCTCAAGGTAGGGGAAAAGGGGAACAAGAGTGGGAGGGAGACTTTTACCCTTTTACAAGTGTATCTCCTGAATGTTATATGGAGTGAATGTTTTAACTAATTCAAAACATTTTTTATAATGATTGCTAATGTTCAAAGAAAGCCCTCTGTAAGCCTGTTTAATCATCTATATAATGGTAGGGGGGAGAACAATACCTACTCAATAGAGTTACCATGACAAAAAATGAGACCTGGCTGTCAAGTGATTCCCACAATTCCTGGCCCACTTCACAAACCATTTACAGCTTCTCTGATTTCCCACATGCCCCTTATTCCTTGTGCCTTGTATGGTGTGGCACCCACAGCAATATCTTGACCAACTATTGTGAAACAAATGGAGAAGATCTTTCTGAAAGTATCACCAGATTTCAATTCAGCTGGCATGCTGGAAAGTATTACATTTTAGGAAATCAACCATCTTCATACTCACAGGGATGCTCCAGACCTGCATTCCATCACTGTAGCCAATCATAATCAGCAAAGGCGGCTCATTTCCAGTGCTGTGTATTTCATGAAATTCCAGATTTCTTGATGTGTCTACATTAGAATTAAGTAACAGAGAAATTAGAAAGACACAAAGTCAGTCAAGAAAGCAACACTCTTCATTAATGCCATTACTGCTACAATTGTTTTAATTGTTTCTCAATAAAAAAATAAGTGCAGAAGTATTTGGAAGACATCATTTAAAAGACAGTTGAACCGGAAGTTGAAATCATGAAAATAGTAGTTTTTCATTTAAAGAGTTCCTATAATCATCAGCACAAGATTTTAAAAAATCAAACTCTCACTAGAGAACTAGGGAATATTAATATCAGAAACAAAACCACCTATAAATAACAAACAAAAATGAAATACTGTACCAAAATTAAATAAATATAATCCTGAGAAGTACAATCATCTAGAATTTCTAATATTTGTAAATTTAGCAATGGAAGAAAATTTATGCTCCTGTATGTAAAGGAATTGAATCTTGATGTCTGCAGACACTATGTACACAGTCCCCTACAAAATAATTATGTGTACTTGTGTAATCAACTTTTCCAACTTGCACCAATTTATGAGAGAAGGCACAGTGTCTCCACCTATGCCTCCAACTTGGCGGAAGTCCAACTTGCACCAATTTATATTAAGCACCAGTTATATAATCAGTATTATAAGATATTCTTATTGAACAAAACAATTGCACCTCAGAAATTACTATTTCTAGGATCCTATTCTCAGATCACAACTTTGTCTTCCATTATGATTCACTCTTTGACTTTATTAAGACTCCAGTTCAAAAAAAAAGACTCCTGTTCAGCCCTGGCTGGTGTGGCTCAGTCAACTGTACCCCAGCCTGTGAACTGAAAGGTCGCTGGTCTGATTGCCCGACCAGGACACATGCCTGGGTTGTGGGCCAGGTTCCAGCTGTAGGGATACAAGAGGCAACTAATCAATGTATCTTTTACACGTCAATGTTTCTCTCCCTCTCCTTCCCTTCCCCCTCTCTAAAGGTAAATAAATAAAATCTTTAAAAACAAACAAACAAAAAAAGGACTCCAGTTCATTGACACCCCTGCTTTCTCCCTTTAGACTAGTCTTAAATTCTCCTCCCTTCTTATATTCTTAGATCGATCATCTCAGTAATCTCTGTCAATAATCTACATTCTCCTTTCCCTTTGTGTGGGATCTCTGCATGGCACCTAAATAGCAAAACCCCAATCCTAGATGAACCCAACTACCCAATACCCTATGTCCATGGAGGCCAAGAACTGACACATAAAACTCAGTGAGACAGAATTGGTACCACTATAAATTAAACAATCTCCACAAATCTCAACTGGACCCTCAAAACTGCACAACATATTTATTCTGTTTCTAGAACTTATCCTACAATTTCTTCAGTGACTTTCTTAAACTTTATTCAAGCCCTCACTCCACCCACTCTCTCCTCACTCACAGGTACTGTTTTATCTTGCAAAGGAAAACTAGAAACTTCCTGCTACCAAAGACCAATGTGTAACAGCCTCCCCACCTTCCATCCTATTACCAAGAGTTGTCTTTCCTTCTGTCTAAAGCAAATCCCTCCATCTGTGCTTTGGATTCCATCCTCCACCACCTTCTCAGGAGCCTTTTTCCCCAATCATTCTTTCTATCTTCAATTCCTAAAGAGCATTTAAAGATGCGGAAGTGCCTCCTATATTTTAAATTTTTCAAACCAATCAGTACCAGTAGATTTTAGATATAAATGGCATATGTAAAATTAAAGTATAAAATATAATACAGAAAAGTATTTTCATGATCACAGTACAGGGAAAGATTTCTTAGCAGGATGTACACACACATAAACTCTTTAACATAAGAGGTTGGCAAATTCTACTGCATTATCTCTTACATTACAATGAAGAACTTCTGTTAATCACGAGTCACACAGACCACAAGACTGGAAAGGCAAGCCGCCGCATGGGAGGCCTGCAAGGAGCACAGCCCCACAGGGCCCACCCTGCCATGGAACAATTGAAAACCAATATGAAAGATAAGTCATTAGAAAACTAGGCAAGAGACATGAAAAAGACATGAAGACAGTCAAATGATTAGTAAACATAAAAAGTGGCTCAACCTCATCTGTTGTAATCAAAGAAATGCTAATTAAAACCACAACGACAAAAACCACGTGATGAGAGGATGTGGAGCAAATGGGTTGCTTATTCACTGCTGGTTGAATGTTAATTACTACAACCACTTTGGAACACAGTTTGACAACACACTGAAGTTGAAGACACCACACCGTGGGGCCAAGCACTTCCACTCTAACTATACATACTCATTACAAGCATGGGCACATACACACACACTAAGAGACACGCACAGGAATATTCATAGCAAGATTATCTGACAAGAGCCAAAAGCTGCAATCAATCAAAATGTGTATCCACAGAATGGACAAGCACAGGGTTATACTGCTACACTGAAATACTATTCAGCACAGAAAAAAGAATGAACTACTACTATACACCGTAATATGAATGAACCTCACAGGCACAATAAGCAAAATAAGCCAAACAGAAAAGACTATATACTGAATAATTCTATCTATATGCAATTCAAAATCACTAGGCAGTTAGCAATATTCTATTTCTTACCCTAGGTCAGGGGTTCCTAACCCATGGCCCGCAGGCTGCTTACAGCCCAGGATGGCCATGAATGGGGCCCAACACCAAATCATAAATTTACTTAAAACATTACTTTAGTGTTATTACTAAGTTTTATAATAACTTTCATTACTTAGATATGTACATTTTCTATATTAGTGATCACCAACTTGGGTCCTGCTCAACAATTTTTTAAATTTTTTTTAAAAGATTTTATTTAGCCCTGGCTGGTATGGCTCAGTAGATTGAGTGCTGGCCTGCAAACCAAAGGGTCGCTGGCTCAATTCCCAATCAGGGCACATGCCTGGGTTGTAGGCGAGGTCGGGTCCCCAGTAGGGGGCGTTCAAGAGACAACCATATTGATGTTTCTCTTCCTCTCTTTCTCCCTCCCTTCCCCTCTAAAATAAATAAAATCTTTAAAAAAAAAGATTTTGTTCATTTATTCCTAGAGAGAGGGGAAAGGAGGGAGACAGGGAGAGAAACATCAATGTGTGGTTGCCTCTCGCACACTCCCCACCAGGGACCTGGCCCACAACCCAGGCGTGTGCCATGACTGGGAATCAAACCAGCAACCCTGATTCGCAGGGTGGCACTCAATTCACTGCGCCACACCACCCAGAGCTTGAGGATGTTTTTTCCCATTAAAGTTAATTTATTGCATAAAATATTAAATAAAATTAGCATAATTTTTTTCTCTTACATTTGTTTTTCCCTTTTACTTGGTAACTTTACTTTTGTTCTATAAGGATTGTTCTAAAAACCTTCCATTTTGTACAAGCCCTTCAAGTTGCTGTTCTAATATTATTTTGGCTTGAGGATTTTAAAAGATTATCAAAAGGGATATTGCAAAAAGGGTTATTATGTGAGGACATTTTTGCTTATCTGTGGTGTCAGCACAAAAATTATGCACAGAACTTTTTTTTGCTCATCAGTTTTCATTAGCGTTTGTGTATTTAATGTGTGGCCCAAGACAACCCTTCTTCCAGTGTAGCTCAGAGATGCCAAAAGGTTGGACACCCTGCCTTGGGTGATGGTTACATGGGTGTTGGATTTGTAAAAATTCATTCACTGAGCTATACTTTTGTGCTACTTACCATGATATACTTGCACAATAAATAAGGTTTTTAAACATCATGAGTTAAGGAGATAATACCCTTCTCCTTTTATTTGCCTTCATCATTCTCCCCTCCTAAAAGTTAAATTCCCTGATTGAGTTGTTCACTATCATCCATTTTCACTTCTCACCCACTCAAAATATATTTCAGGATGGTTTCTGCGCTTAACATTCCTCCCAAGTGACCAACAACCTCCAAGTTGTTGTTAAAAGAGAAAACCACAGCCCAAAATGGCACCATTCAATGCTAAAAGCCTGAAACCAAAGCTAGACCAAATACCTGACTTAACTGCATTTTCAACCACTCCCAGAAACATATCAGATTGGAATTTTATTGTCCTGCACCAGTAATCTGTCAGAAGGGCCCTCTCCAAGCCCCACCCCACATAGAAAGAGGCAATCTGTATAATAAACACTCATCCCTAACTCTCTTCCAAAGAAAAGATGCCTGGCCCCAAAATAACCCTTCCTTATCTTTTGTTAATAGCTCCCTTACCCACCCTTCTTTCTATAAAAACCTTCCATTTTGTACGAGCCCTTCAAGTTGCTGAAAGAGATTCTGTCCAATTCACGAATCACTTAAAGCAATTCACTCAGCTGAATTTTATATTTTTGACACTGTTGTATCCAACATGTTTTTCAAGCATATTGTATTAGACTATTCAGCAGCTATGACCAATGCTCACCGTTTTCTCCTTAAAATAATTTCCCTTCATTTCCCGGGCATAAACTTCTCATTTTCCTCACATCTCTCTAGTCACTCTGCAGGTTCCCCCTTTTCTATCAAGTCATTAAATATTTGAGTTATTTTTCAAAACTAATCCTGTGAACAAAAAAGGGACTACACATTAAACATGACAAGCTCAGGGGAGGCCTTCATAGAGGGTTTACAAACTCAGAGACCAAAATTAACCACACAGGATGGTCTGAAATTGAAACTCCAAGCAAGCAGCCCTGTGCTAGGCCAGTATCTTCCGTGACAAAGGTCAATCTTTACCTTTGTCTGTTGTCCTTCTCCCTCTGCACAACAGATCTTGGGAATGTGGAGTAATCCCCTATTTCCAGGCCCCTGGGACACAACCTCCCACCAGAGCCAGAGATGCAGAACCCATCATTGTCATTGTTATCTCTTTAACTGTGAGTTGTTAACAGATAACAATAAAGTACTTCTCTATTCCTTTTACTTTTATTCCAATCTCAGAGACTTCTCCATTTAGCTTTCTACCGCCTCCCTAATTTATCACCAAAGAGATTCTAAGTATAAAATAAGTGGTAAAACTGCCATTTTCCAG